GACCCACATGGACATACCACGTTCAACAGAACAACACCATCGACTTAAATCCAGATATCCAGATAAATGATCCAACCCAAGGATTCACTAGATCTGATCTGCCTCGAAGTCTTTGGTCTGAGCGTAACCGGGCTAGAATAGTACATGGAAATTGTGCATATTCCTTGTATATCTGGGACAGAGCTGAATCCCCTCAGTGTGATCGTGAGTACTAATGGCAGGCAATACGCCATATCATGGCAGTGTCCTAGACGTGCCTATAATCGTGACCTTGCAGATTTTGCGCAATGTGATTAATTTGCTGGGTAATTTAGACATAGATATACAATGTGTAAGATGATGTTCCGTTAGCAACGAGAGTGCGAATGTGGTATTAGCACATCGGTTCCTCACCGCATGTTCGTCGTGACATAACAGCATGGTTAAATAATCATTTTAGACAACAATTGATTGGCAGAAACTGACCCGTACATTGGCCTACGAGACCTCCTGATTTGAACCCCCTGGATTTCTTTTTGTCGGGCGCTTTTAAGCAACTAGTGTATGCTGAACAAATTAATAGTATTGATCAGTTACAAAAAAGAATAGATAATGAGTTTCATGAAATTCAAGCCACAACAAATTTTGCGGAAAGACGTTTTTCTTTATTAAAAAGATGCCACATTTGTATCTTTGAGAATGGTGGCCTTTTTGAACATTTGAAAAAATATTTGGATGTGGACAATACTAAGGAAATCCACATACCAAATTTTAGTTAATTCCAGTTGACGGTCTTGAAGATATTAAAAAAAAATGTTTTTTATTTTTAAACTTCATCTTTTTAATGAAGCCTCTTAAAATGCGGTCCTGTGTATGATGTTTCATTTTTGTCACGACTTGTGAATCACCCTGTATAGGTTGTGATTTTTTTGTTTCATATTGTTTCTCATTTACTTTTTTTGTCTCATAATTGTTTTGTACAGTTGACGTACTGTGAAATCCATACGCTAAATAAATATATAAATTACGTCAGAGCTGTAGTGCGATTTCGTACATGTTCAGTTGTTAGCTTAGATCTCCCAACACAATTCTAACCATCGCACACTGGATTGCAAGCGGGGGGTGCAGCGCGACACTTCTTTCTAAACGCACCCTGAGTACAAAATCTAGAGGAATGTTGGAATAAGTACCTAAGTTATTCTTCAGTAAAATTCTAGAGATAACAGTACATAGTGTGATTGAGCTTGCTATTTTAAAATTGATATTATGAAATAAATTTTAATGATGTTTTGAGGATAGTGGCATTTTGTATAAAGATACATATAGATAGATGCTTATAATTAAGTGGAATGGAAAACTAATAACTTCTATTATACAAAATATACAAAGAGTTCGATACGAAACATAGTATCGACCAATCAGTAGGTAGAAAAGCCTTTGCGTACAAAACGTGGAACAAAATCTTAAGCGCACCATTTAAACGGTCAATATGGTAAAAGCTTTCATAAGCAGAATGCATATGCTTACGCTGAAATTTAAAAGAAGTAGATAAGGGATCAGTACTCACGTAACTGCATACCTGATTATATTTAACACGGTAATTGTACTTAACCAGAGTGGACTTCATCGAGAAGGCGGAAACGAGTTATTATAGTGTATCGTGAAGTCATGCGCTATAACGCAAACACACTTTTCAAAATCTAAATTGGTTGATTGGCAGAAGTAGTACCGGTATATTTATTAGTACATACCCTTCCATACGAGGCTTACTGCGTATGTTTACATTATAGCTCGTGAGTTTAAGTGACGTGACACTTGCGAGGTCTGTAACTTAAGTAATGTAACTTAGGTAATGGATTGGCAACATAGCGTTTGATTTGGTAACACTGGAGGCGCCAGTTAGAGCGAGGTCAAACTTGTACTGAGCAAGCCCGGCGTTGTCCGTAGCTATTTTTTTTCTTGTGAAACAATTTTTCCTATTAGTCTAGTCATCTTGTCAAATTTCCCCGATATAATTGTAAAGTCTGGTTTTATCATTGCATGTTGTTCAAGGAGATATTCAAAACATGGACGCATAAAATGGATACACCAATTTTTGTGGGAAAACATTTTATTTGACAACAAAGAATGAGAAAACGTGCTTTTTGGGATTCAATCGAAAGTGTTGACAGGAACGAAAAAACTTTCCATTTTTCAGATTTTAACAGGAGATTGTAGGTCATAGTCACCTACTTCGCATGCAGGGGTATTGTAAAGCCATACCTAATCGTTCCCCCACCACTGGGCTTGAACGGTATTTTGGCGTAATAGCTTGAGGCGTGTCATTTCGCTGCAGAACTATGATAAGAGCAGATGATCACTTACAGAACTACTGTAAGTCCAATGTCAGCAACAAATATAAGTCCACTTTCACGGACTTGTCATACTTGTTTTCCGGTAAAACATTCTGTATCCAAAATAACTCAGAAATGTTAGGCAAGACAAAAACACGAAAAATATTATTCCTGTAAAATTTGGATTTGCATTCAAGCGACGAGGTATTTATGAGACCTACAAAATGAGATCACACTTGAAAAGATCCGACTAATAGCAAAAATGTTATTGCCAAAAAACGAGGCAAAATGCAGGTTTTGGCACTTGTTGGTAATGCGAAGATATTTTCACGCAAGTGCTTGAAATTCTTCAAATTCGTAGGATTCATACTTCTAAATAACAACAACAAAATTGGATTATATTGGTCAAGTATTTTTTTGAGAATCTCTAATTGTTTATCCCAAAACATCTGTTTTCGGGCCATCATTACTATTTTATTGAGCAGTATACAGCGTTCGTTCAAAGAGCATTTAATAGCAAAATACACGTGTTTACCTTGCCGATACAAATCACGAACCATTCCGAAAGACAAATGTAATTCAGTTAATAGCGTTTTAGATATATTTTCGTTTTGTGCGACTTTGGGAGACATTAATGCTTATTTTCGTTAATGCTTGCCGGTGTGATTGTTGAGTGCTTGGTAGGTAAAGCTAGAACGCTTTTTTCCTCCCAGTTCTGTTTTGAGGTTTTTTTTTGCAGCGTTTTAGCTTTCTCTACATACATCCACAACATGCATTTGTCATATTTTCATGTTTATCCATCCTGTAATTGGCTATGGCTGTTGGAAGTTGCTAAATAAATAAATAAATAAATAAACACTTTCGATTGAATAAAAAAAAACCCGATTTCTCATTCTTTGTTGTCGAATAAAAAGTTTTCCCACAAAAATTGGTGTACCCATTTTATGCGTCCATGTTTTGAATATCCCCTTGAACAAAATGCAGCGATAAAACCAGACTTTACAATTATTTCGAAAACCAGGGGTATTTTCGTCTAATATGATTAGACTATATTGCGCTTGCTAAAGTTCAGCAGGCCTTAGGAAGTAGTGTTTTGCCAAGAGCCCAGCTTTTTCCGTGGTTTAAGGCATTTACAGATGGGTTACAGTCGATTGAAGATGAACCACGAAGCGGAAGTCCTTCATCTTCAGGGACCAATTAAAATATAGGCAAAATCCTAGATCGTTGGTTGACACTCAGAATGACTGGAGAAGAGTTCGACCACGATAATGCTTCTTGTCCCACAGCAATGTCAAGAAACATCAGCGAAAACATTCCTGTGGCTCCTCAGCCTCCTCATTCGTCTGACTTCTGCCCTTGTGACTTTTTTCTCTTTCCGAAATAGAAGTATGACCTCAAGGGAACTCATTTTGGGACAATTAAAACCATTGAACCGGCTGTGACTAGCTGAAGGCTAGACCAGTATCGGAGTTCCAGCACTGCTATGAGGAGTGGAAGAACAGTTTCCAGCGCTTTGTGGCTTCAGTTATATTGGGTCACGTAATTAAATTTAAATAAAAACATTAAAAAATCAGTCGCCTCACTTAATTTACAGAGCTCGTTTGTGTTTCTGCCTCCAGTAGCTAGGGGTTAAACTTGTGTCGGAAAAAGTACATACCTAGTTTCCTTCTAAGTGTGCGTCCATACCGAATGTGCCTAAGGCGGGCGCGTCGAATGGCGGCGTCTGGTGTCCACAGTGACACGCGAGCTCTTGTACTGGTTCGAGGTATTATCAGAAGTTCCAAACTATGGACGACGATTTGATATTTTTACTAGACAGTCCGATTCTGAGATCGAGGTGTTGAACATTCTAGATGGTGTGCACGATATAAATAAAAACAGAGAAACAACTGTTGAATTTTTTCATTTGTATGAAGAACTGAGATTATACCCTACCAGATTTTTTGAGTACACTCGAATGCCACTGTCAACATTTGACTACATCCTAAGTGAAATATCTGTGGTGTGGATGTTGACTTTGCCAAATAGGTGGTAAGATAGAATTGCACTTATAAACAATTCAGTATCCGCCATTACAATACAATAATACTCATGCATTCGCCGAGCGACAAGACCGAACTGGTTTGTTAACGCCGCCTCCGCGCGTTAGGTCGCTTGCAGATTAGGCCCGTAGTGTGGCCAGAACGCGCGGAACAGGGACGTTTGAAAACTACGTCGCCCTAGGCTTCCGCCTCAGTCACTACACTATGGACGCAAAGGCGCGTTTCATAATGTTTGATATTTCGCGCCCGTCGTCACAACCGCGCTAGGCTCGCAATACGGACGCACACTGAGACTGAGTCTTACATGACTCACAGTTACTGAGCGACCGGTTTCGCTAAAGCCGTATGACATCAAGTCCTAAGGATGTTTAGAATGTAATAGAAAGCAACCTTCCAACACCAAATTGCTCCTATGAAATATCAGCAAACAAATGAAATAATTTAGAGAATAATGTCAATAAAGCGCTTTTTCTGTATCAGGATTTAATTTGAAAAACTGATAACACTGAAAATTCTTGTAGAACACAATATCTTTTCATGCCATGATTTCACACTATTACCAGTATGACCGTGTAAATAACATCACATTATTATTTCTTATCCCAGCTTTTGTATGGAAAGATACCTACTGATTGGCTTGCAAAATTCAAATGAAGAAGCTCGTTTCATCGTCTGAATCCCAATCGTCATAAATGGGACCGAAAGAGTCATTGAAAAATGAGTCGATTTCCTTGTACATGTGCAACAGCGCCTTTTTCTGGAAATTGTGATCTTCGTCAGGATAGTCCTGCAACAAATAGTGAGTGTAACAAATCACTTGATTATTTATCATTTGATACAGTACATTCTGTAACTTTGACACGGACCTCTCAGTTGGGTAGGAAAATAGGTGAAAAAATTGACTTATTTTGACTTTATTTTTTTGTATTTCTTGCCGCCATTGACACATCATAGAGTATAATTGTGTACGAAAATGGAAGAGAGCAGCGTAGCGACTGGTACGCCACTGTTTTTTTTTTGCTTTAGGACTAAGCCATGCAGCCAGAAACTAGGTTGTTATATTTACATTTCTAATTATGGACAAACACACGACGCCACAACATCCATGGCGAAGGCGAGATTCGAACTCGCGGCCCGGCCAACCGAGGTCCCTACGCCACTGTTAGCGACGGATATCTTTGAGTAGGATAAGATCCCCGTACCCGAACACGGAGACCGAGTTAGAAGTAGTGTACGATAACTTACGCTGCCCTCTTTTATTTTGGTACTTACAAATATTTTGTCATTCTGATGTAATTTTCCAAGTTGTGACGCGGAAATTCAATTTTTGTATCTACAGGGTGTTTCAGCTTATTGTTGCATAACTTTAAGATTCGATAGAACATTTAAAATTAATGCATATAGTCCATATAAACATGGGTCGAAAAATGCGTGGCTTCCGAAATACAGGGTGTTTAAATTTACTTTCTAAAATAGTTTTTTTAAATATTTCGAACAATATTTGATGTACAACAGTGAAAATTGGTATACAGGGGTTGTTTGGTACGACAAAACGAACCATGGGCATAGTTTTAGTGTAGCCGCTAGAGGGCACTCTCTACCGTACCTGTAGTGTATTAAAATGACCGAAACATTTTTCTTAGTGCAATGTTTTGCTTTTGAATAAAAACACTGATTCTTCGCACTTCTCAACATAAAAAAGCTCTCCTGTGAGTTTTCGTTATAGTTAGCCGTTTTTGAGATATTTCGATTTTAAGGTTCGATGCATTTTTAATTATTCATGGGAAAATAATATTTTTTTTTACATTTTCGATATGGGCATCACAAGTAATTAAGATGATCGTTTAGATTGTGTTTTTAAACACAGCAATAATACCTAACTCCAAATAAACACAAAAAAACAGAATATTAATTTGTTTAATTTTCCAATATTATTTTTAACAAATTAAATTAATTATTTACAACTAAAATGCTATTGGTTAGTTAGGACAAACATACAAAATCTAAAGTAGTTGCTCGAAATGTAAACCCAATTGTTCAATACACAATTCACATCTGCGAATGATCGAACGTGGTATAGCATTATTCAAATAAGGCCTTATTTCATCACATGTATTCCTGATTCTGTCTATTAGCATATCTCTTGTGGTTACGGGAGTCTGGTACACTTTTTCTTTTAGAAATCCCCACACAAAGAAATCTAATGGATTTAGGTCAGGAAATCGTGGAGGCCAGGCGACTGGTCCTCCACGGCCGATCCATCTTTCTGGATAATTTTCGTTCAGCCAGAAGGTCGCAGCATTTAACCTTGCAGGCAAAGGTAGGGTCCAAATAGTCGATTACGGTAGATACCAATCCGCACGTTCACACTAAATTCATGCTGAAAATTTCTTTCCCGAACTGCATGCGGATTTTCATGCGACCAAATATGTTGATTATGAAAATTTACCACCCCACGTCTAGTGAAGCATGACTCATCGGTCCATAAAACGTTAGTTAAAAACTCCCTATTATTATCAGTTCTATCAAGAATCCACTGACAAAATGTGATTCTTCGTTCTCCGTCCCCTGGCTGTAGTCCTAGCACAGGTTGCAAATGGTAAGGACGTCTATGTTCATTTCTAAGAACACGGTGAACTTGGCTTGCTGAAATTCCCAAGGCACCAGAAACTCTCCTAACACTTGTGGTCGGATCTCTATCAAACTCACGCAGAATCATACAGGTAAATCTGCGCTGACGAACATTTATGTTTTGATCCCTTTGGAGATTTCCAAAACCATTTTCAATTATTTGGCGATGCACTCTTACCAGTACTGAGCGAGTTGGATGTCGTCTGTTTGGAAATCTTCGTGCGTATTCTCTGGCTGCTTCTGCTGCGTTTACATTTACAAAGCCATACACAAAATGGATATCTGCTAACTCTTGATTGGAGAATAAAAATGGCATATTTATAAAACTTACAAAAAAAAAAACAGGTAAAAGAAACTAAATTTCATGCATTCACAATTGCAAAAAAACGTTTCAGGTTTCAACAGACAACAAAACTAACTGTCAACTAATTGACGTTTAACCTTATTCTGCTTTCAATTTCAAAAATATTTGCAGGCACAGCCTACTTCTAAAAATTATCGAGATACTGACTTTTTAACGTTATTTTACCATAAATAATTAAAAATGCATCGAACCTTAAAAATCAAAATATGTATCTCAAAAACGAAAATTCACAAGAGAGCTTTTTTATGTTGAAAAGTGCGAAGAATCAGTTTTCTATTCAAAAAGCAAAAATTGCACTAAGTAAAAATTTTCGGTCATTTTATTACACTACAGGTACAGTAGAGAGCGCCCTCTAGCGGCTACAGTAAAACTATGCCCATGGTTCGTTTTGTCGAACCAAAAAACCCTGGTATACCAATTTTCCCTGTTATACATCAAATATTGTTCGAAATATTAAAAAAAAAACTATTTTAGAAGCCACGCATTTTTCGATCCATGTTAAATAGACTTTATGCATTAATTTTAAAAGTTCTATCGAATCTCAAAGTTATGCTACAATAAACTGAAACACCCTGTATAATTTATTACTTCAAGTATCGCATTTATGCCAAATAATTGTATTTTTAGTGTAACACTTGAAACCTAATTTCGCGGTTTTTAAGCTGATTGAAACGTCAGCAAAAAGTAATTTATGTACATGTCCTCACTTAAAGTGATTAATCCTGTAAATTATTATATTTAGAAATCGTCTTCAGGCAAGATGGTTTACATGGTAATGGTTTACATTGTAATAATAATCTAATAACTTTGGTCAAACGCATTTTCGAGTTTTAAAAAGCGATTTCAATCTTATAGTTCATGTAAAGAAATTTAGATTCGTCAAAGTATAGGTATTTTTTTATAGAAAATACGAAGATATTAACCTACTGTATATTTTTGTTGGTTTGTAATTGTAATTGTATTCAAATCGAATAGTAGTCAAACTTCACCTTTACAATGCTTTCGATTCCAGTTTCAACCCTACTCTACAAAAAAGTACTAACAGTGTTGAGATTTTAGCTTTAACTTTAAACAGTGATTCACATCATCATTAGTGATGTACTCTCTCGAAGGCAACTCGACAACTGACAGAATAACAAATTACCTTTCGCAAAAAATCACATAATCATCCCTAAGCGTCAACATTTTCGTTATCTGCGAAACCAAAACCTAAACTTCCCAAGTTACAAATCCTTCCAACCTCAGATCATCACTCCACAACCATATGATAAGAATCTCTTCAAGAACGCCGATGTTGGCAAACACTAATGGATCTATGTAGGTAGATAGATGCGTCTGTTTCTTAACAAGCGCTTCTTGGTATTGAGAACAACACGAATACTAAGACAGGTTCACAACTGCACAGCTACCCAGATGACTTAATTCTAGGCGCCAAATAAATCTAATCTAACCTGCCGTCAGAAGATAAAGCAGCAGCTACCTAACTGCTGAAGAGGCTCAATTCCATTTGCTATGGTTTTAGGGTGATATCAAGATATCTAAATAATACGAGTATGAAAATATTGTACCATGCTAATTTTTAGTTTAAGTGTTCTAAAGTATGGGTTTATTTTTTTGGGACGCAATAGGTTTATTCAAAAAATGTTTGTTGTTCAAAAAAGAGCGGTACGTCTGCTAAAGGGACTAAATTTCAATGACACTTGCAGGGGGGTGTTTAAAACTGAAAAAATCATGACTGTATATGCCATCTATGTGTATGAGTGTCTTATATTTTTTTTCAAAAATAAAAATTTATTTGAGCTTGAGGTGCAAACTGTTTATGATACTCGAACAGTCAATGTTACTTATCCAATACACAGATTATCCTCCACAGAAAAAAGCCCTATCTACATGTGTTTTTTAACAATCTACCAAATGAAATTAAAAACATAAACAGTTTGCATAAATTTAAAAAGACTATTAAGCAATTTCTAGTACAGTCAGAGCCTTATACAGTAGATGAGTTCTATGGGAGTTGTAATAGTATAAGATAGTAGCTGTTTTAAGATAAATAACCATGTAACACAAAAAAAGGTCTCAGGTAAACTACTATATGGTGACAGTGACGCAACATTTCATTTTGTAGTGGCTATACAATTTTTGTAATGTCATTGTACAATTTGGAATATAGATTATTATTATTATTATTATTATTATTATTATTATTATTATTATTATTATTATTATTATTATTATTATTATTATTACCTCATATCGCATCCATCAGTCGGTATATATCGGTGTCTCCTCCATAAAAGGGGAATATAAAATGTTTTTAGGACTTACTGGAATTTCGATAACTGCGGTGTTTCTTTTGTTCTTTACAAATTGTAAAGGTGCGAAACAGAATCATATCGCTGTATCCTTACAGGTAGTACATGAGATTATGGATAGTTTCAGAAGAAATTAAGGACACGTAAGATACTGCATGAATTTGCTACACTGGACACTGTCAGCAAGGAAAACATATCGATGATAATATGGGTGCCCAAATGCATCGCATTTCTGAAATCCACCAACTCATGGCAACGCACCTTCAAAGATAAAGAAACTCTAATTTTCATGAGCGGGGTTAAATTAATCCATACCAAATAATATTTTCATCAAAAAATGAGAGGATTTTTTATTATACCTAATATTACGTATTGACTTGCCTGGTTGAAAAACAAAGCGTCCTCCTTGTTTACTGAACCTCAAAGCCCACCGTTTTGAATGACAACCTTGGGCTGCTGAAATCCGTCCTGTAAACTCCA